ACACACACACACACACACACACACACACACACACACACACACACACACACACACACACTCGCTTACATTATCACGAACTTGCGCAAACACTGATTGCCGCACACACAGAAATACACACTCGCACCACATACTCCTCGATTCTCTTCCACACCCCTCACTTCTTGTTTATCTGCAAAGTGCAAAACAAGAACTCATTGAGCCGGATTCTTCTTGGGCTGCCAATCAAAAGCTGAATAGAACATTTGAAATCACAATAGCTCTGTACCTTTCAATTACACTGCACACATTTAGAAGCATTCCATCTCATCCCCGCTTCTACTTTTGTCACCATTTCAGGTCGAATGCTCAGAATTTTTTTCATTATAAATCAAGAATGAGGTAGCATTAAAAAAAAAAGAAAAAGGGGAGGGGTGGGGAGTGGGATGGATGAGGGGAGGGACGAACTGGTGGATTTCTCCAGCCCTGTGCCTAATTGCTGTTTCAGAATGCGCATGCAAAAAGGGGGCATTACATTAATCATTTAATCACGTCCCTGGCAGGATGAGGGAACTAATGTTGCAAATACCCTTTTCATTTCACTGCCCATAATGCTATCTTATGCACTTGATGTATGGCGTGTGTCATGAATTACAGCTGCTTCAAAAGCACAGAGCGGGCTGCTCGCTGTCCCTGAAGATACCTCATTACAAAAAAAAATAAAAAAGAGAGAGGGGGGGGGGGGGGGAATCTTTATTAACTTTGCATCTCAACGACAAGCTGCTTGTTTTTCTCAAATGTTGTCAATGTGTGTGTTTGCGTGTGATCGTGATGAGGCCTCTCGACAGCGCTCCAGCTAGTTGTTGACTTCCACACTCACACCTTCCCACCGCTGGCCAGTTAGCGAGGCGATTACAGCCAGATTACTACATGCATTTATGAAATATTCAAATGGCAGTGTGTCCTACTGTGCATTAATAATGCCACACAAAGACAAAAAAGAGGGGGGGAAACGGGCAGACAGAAAACATTAATGAAAGGATGCCTTATTTACTGAAATGTGGGCAAAAAAGTACTTTCTCATCTCTTATTTTATCTCCCACATCTAAATAATTTGTATGTGAAATCAAACTAAATTTGTATGAGGAAATAGAAAAACAAAAGAGTCGAAGTGACTCATAACTAACTGTAGCATCCAGGTGTAATCTGTTAAACCTAGAGGTCGAGGTCTCACTGTCAGGCCTGGCTGGCTCCTGTTTATGTTGACAGTTTAGAGCAACATCGATTTCTGCCTTGAAGAGGGAATTACTCGTGTGATGAAGAGACCATGTGTGAACAGGGAAGAAAGGGATGGAGATGGAGACTGAGGGATGTAGCAAAGGTAGAGAACTCAGAGCAAATAAAGAGACAAAGAGAGTGATAAATAGAGAGGGAGGGGGGAGGGAGAGGTGAGACACAGACGTTGATAACGATTTTTTTTTTTTTTTTTATTGGATGCTGCAGTTTCTCTCCTCGCTTAAGAGAAGGGAACAAAACATCTGAAAGGTTTTCCCCCACAGCTGTGCATATGAATATGTATAGGCCATCAACGTCCACTAAGGGCCCAATAATAAATCTACTCAAGCCAGCATATATTGATGGTACACTTTTTCTAATTGTCTGTGTGTATTATCAGGGGCCACAAAGGCCCAGTAGAGAACAGCAAGTTAGGCCCCCAAACTGTGCACGTGACACACAAACACACCCCGATACCAAATTCAAACTAATGCATACACACTCATGTGTAACTACACACACATTGCACACCTACTGGCGTGCATAAACAAGAGCATATACACGCACACACACACACACATACACACACACACACACACACACACACACACACACACACACACACACACACACACTCCCCATGGTGGTGGTGCATAAGTAATGCCCTCCGTTTTAAAGGTCTTGTCACAGTGCAGCACACATGTGGAGGGGTAGAGGGGAGCTCAGCTATCCAGGGGCCAGGGGCCTGCCTGCCTCCACAGTGTGTGTGTGTGTGTGTGTGTGTACATTACATTGAGATGGATACACTTGGCTACAGCCTTGTGGGTTTAATTAGCAGTGGGTTACAGACACCGTGGTTCGCGTTAGCGGCCGAGCTTGCCATTTTAACATGGAGCCGGCATTCCTGCCAGGAATAAGGAGAGCAGATGGGTGACAGGGAGTGGAAGAGTTAAGCGTGTGTGTGTGGGAGCAATTATCTGTTTATGTCGGGATAAGATTGCATTTTATTGAGGTGGGAGGATATTGATATCCAAGGTGAAAGGCCAAAAAAGAGGGGGGACACGACATGTATGTATTGAAGAAGAAAAGCAACAATCTGGATGTGATCATCAAGTTTTTGTTTTTTTGAGCTTATAGAAGTGATTTATATCAATAAGTGTAGTAGTCGTTACATAAACTGCAGTAAGTAAGTAGAAGGTTTTGTACAGGCATTTATCTTTATACAGATATGCAAAATGGTGCATGTGAAGTGGCTTAATGTTGAAGCATTAATTGCATTCTCTATTTTCTGTGTCTCCCATAAAGGCACACAAATAGCTCCAGCACATGCACTAATAGTATTCATGTTTCACCCTCTGTATTTCGTCTGTTTCTAACGCAAATACACACACACACACACACACACACACACACACACACACACACACACACACACACACACACACACACACACACACACACACACAAAACCCCCAACACCCACCACTCAAGAAACATTCCCAAGCAATATTATTTCATTTTGAACTTCAGAGAGCTAATTCAGGGTGCCAGCCACCTCGCGGCTACCTTTTCCAGGTGAGAACACTTAAAAGCACACTGAAGAGCTATTAAATGCTGATCTTGACAAGTTTCCTCATGCAACAAAACAACGGATGACTAAACGTGTCACCGCCGCTGAGCTCCTACAGCGAGCTACGAGACGCCAGCTTGACTTGG